CCATGCCCCCCCCTCCCCCGCCAGCAGCAGTGGTGTGAACACCGCTCACCTCCAGAATGTTCTTGCAGGCATTAGCCTGAGCAAGGCTGGTCACAGAAATCCAGTTTTCCTCCTCTCTTTTCATGCTGCTGTTACAGTTCTTGTCCAGCAGGTAGGCACTGACCTCATCCCCAAATCCCAGACCTTGCAGGCGACACCTGTCCAGTGACACTTTGATCTCTCTTGCCCCACAGTTCAGCTGAGGCTGCAAACTGTGGATATCTGGAAAGTCGAGAAGGGAGATGCGGAGTGGATAAGGGTCTGGAAGCAGTGGGCACAGCCCACACTCCCTGCCTTTGGAAAAGCCACCATGCCCACCAAGACGTAGGTAGACTAGAAGGGGCCCCGGACCAGGTGGGATTCAAGCCCAGGCTTATAGTAGGCCAGGTTGGCAAAGAAGCCCCTGGTCTGAGGTTGTCAAGCATCCTATGTGCAGGTGTGGGAAGGGTTTCCATGTCCAGGTCCCCTTGAGGGTTAGGGTCTCTGGAGAAGCAGGACTATCCCACCTTCCAGACTAGAATCAAAGCTAGATACATGCTACTCACACTTCTTGATTTTGTGAAGCCAGCACATCTGACCTGGTTCAGAGCCACTGCATTCATTCATTCATTCATTCATTCAGTCCGTCAGTCAGTCAGTCAGTCAGTCAGTCAGTCAGTCAGTCAGTCACTCATCTGTCTGCTCATTTGTTCATCCAACATTTATTCAACAAATACTTCTTGAGACTCTACTATCTGTCATGTACTGTTCNGTCTGTCAGTCAGTCAGTCAGTCAGTCAGTCAGTCACTCATCTGTCTGCTCATTTGTTCATCCAACATTTATTCAACAAATACTTCTTGAGACTCTACTATCTGTCATGTACTGTTCTAGGCATGGAGATACATTGATTATCAAAACTGACAAAATTCACACCCTGAAGGAGCTAACATTCTAGTAGAGGAGAGAGACGGTAAGTTAAGAGAAATACAATTTCCATTGTGTTTATGAATGCATTGATTCAACATACATTCACTAACCACCTTCTCCATGTGCTGGGCACACTTAACACAAAAATAAAGAAAACATGGGCCCAGTCCCTGAGGATTCATTGGTCTTCTGTAAAACCAACATACCAACCACTTATTACGAAGCAGCAGGTGAAAGTGCGAACAGGTGCAGAGGGAACGCACAAGAAGGCTTAGCTAAGTCGCCAGGTCAGCCAGAGAAGGACACGTGGACGGCTTGAGCTTGATACGGGCAGGAGTTTTGCAGGTAAATAAAGCAAGTGAGGGCATCGCAGGGCAAAGGAACAGCAGAGGCTAAGTGTGGCCATGGGAGAGACAATGGCGTGTTTATAGAGACACAGAGTTCAGAAATATAGGAACTAAGAATGGGAGGGGGAGCTGTGGGAAATGGAGAGGCAAGCAAAAGCCAGGCCATGGAGGGATTGTGTCTGGAGGTGATAGAAACCCACTGAATAGCCACTGACAAAGACATGAGGGGCCACCTGTTCACCCAGTCAGCCAAGACCTGCTAGGGAAGCCCTCGAAACCCATCCAGGTACAGGGAGGGTGTCCACAAGGCCCATCATCTGACGCTGTGATGGCCCAAACCCCAGGAAACCACTCTGACCCTCTGGGGTCTCATCCACCCAGTGAGTAGAGAGAGTCTCCAGAACACTCTTCCATAGGGGCGGGGAGTGTGCTCAGAGGAAGGCATGCTTGTGCCGAGGGCAAGAGTCAGAGGCCCTCCACGTGCCCAGTAGAAGGTGTGCAGGAGGCAGCCAATCAATGACTCATCATTGATGTTTCTCTTTCGCCCTCTCTCTTCCTCTCTCTGAAATCAATGAAAAAAAACACACACAAAAAAACCCAAGCGAACACGTATTTTTTAAAAAGAGTCAGAGGCCCTCATTAGAGTCCCAGGAGGGATTCGGGCTTGTGTAAGGCATCCCTTCCCATGGGTCATCTGCTTCTGCTTGCTTACCTCCTGAGATAAGAAGCTCATCACCTCCAGAGCTTGCCCATTTAGACTACTCTGATTTAATTCTCACAATAGCCCTGTATAGTGAGGATTTTTATTAATATCCTATCCCTATTTTACAGATGAGGACATGAAGGCTCAGGGAGAGTAGGTGAGTTGTCCCAGGACCCCAGAGTTACTTCAGAGCAAACCCAAGCACAGGCGTCTGCCCCCGTTCCTCCTGTGTAGGCTCCGCAGATATTTTACCCCAGCTCTCACACTTGCAGAGTTCTCATCTTCAGTCCCTTTTGTCCCTTGTGGGTCAAGCTCACCCCTTGCAGAGCTGCTTCCTGTGGCCTGGAAATTGTCGCATCCCTGCCCTCCCGCCCTCGCAAGCCCACTGGCTGTGAGAACTCCCATTCCCTGACCTTGGTTCCATCCCCACTGACTCTGGTCCACCCCAGTCTTGAACCCCTGCAGCTCCCTCCTTCCCTCTGGGCCTGCTCAGGCCAGCTCCCGCCCAGCACAGTCCCTGCTGCCCTGGCCACTGACTCGCTCACCAGAGCTGTTGAGATCCCGTCTGCAGAAACAGCCCCAGGTGCCGTTGACAAAGGTGCACTCCTCCTCCGGGCGGCAGGTCTTCTCACACTTGTTCTCCACGGTGGACGGGTCTAGGAGTGGGCATGGAGGCGGGGAATCAGGGTGCAGAGCAGGGAGGCCCTGAGGCCCTCAGAGCCAACCTCGTCTCCCTACCAGGGCACAGAAGCCCTACCCAAGACCGTGCAATTCTTAGTGGAGGAGATGAGCCTCAACCGTGAATTTCCTGAGTCCCAATCCAACCAGGTGAAAAGCCTGAAGCTGCCATCTTAAGGCTTATGGCATGGGAGACACCGTTTGGAGCACTTTCCCTGTGTTAGCTCATTCGATTCTCTTGGTAACAGTATGAGACAGCGTAGAATGGTAGGAGAGTACTGGGTTCAAGTTCCAGCTCTGTGATATTGGGAGTGTTGCTTAACCTCTCTGTGCCCCAGACCCATCATCTGGATCATTATGTAATATTTACCTCATGAGGTTGATGAGCCGGTTAAATGAGTTACTAAAGTGCTTAGGATTGGGGCAAGGACATTATAAGCACTATGAGTTAGTTGTTATTTTTGCCATTACCCATTTTTTTCAGATCAGAAAATGAAGCTCGGAGAAGTCAATTAAAGTGCCAAAATGGAACCTATCCCCAAATGAGCCCGGATTCTTAATAGTATGCTACACGCATGGACATAGGCAGGTATCCCCTGCACTGGGAAAGTTCGCCTGGTGTTACTTTTTCAAAAGACCTTCATTTGTACCGGTTTTCCCTTATAGAAATAAATCCGATTTCTTTTGCAAAGTCAAAAACAGCGGTCAGCGTTGGCTTTGCAGCAGCCATCAAGGAAGCAGCGCAGCCGGG